TGGACAGCTCATCTGAAAAAGCATCCTAGCAGCTCCTCCACATATTTGATTTATTTTTAGGAAAGTGAGGAGGGCTGTTAGGCAGCAGAATGCTGTGCAAGGCCCTACTGCTGTTTAGATGCTGCTATTAACATTGCCTGTATTGTTTGGAACCCATTTGCTATTTCAGAAAAGCACCTTAAGAAGTTCCATTAATACTCATCATTTCCCTGTGCTCCAGCAAATGGTTTAAAAACTCATTGTTTATGTGCCTGCATGTCAGATGCACAGGCAGGGGAGCAAGGGAGAGGAAAACAACTTCAAAGATTCTGTCACCAGCTCCCCATCTGACTATTTAGGATCAAAAGCATGGGCAGCAAAGGAGAGAGGCTCCCAGGTAAGGAGATTATTACCCACAAGATGGGCAGGGAGGCTGGAGAAAGGAGCACAGCACAGATGAGCACACAGCTCCCTGCTCATCACTGCCTCTGTATGTAAACTTTCCCTTGATTATCTCACAGCTATTTCTGACCTGTTTGATGCTCTGGCAGGGGGATTGGGAAATGCAATCACTGGGAATGTTTTGGATGTACTGATGTATAATATTCTGGTGCTAATTGTTATTCCGGTGCTGAAAAGATTAATAGATTAATTTAGCAAGGATTTTAATTTTTTTTTTTTTTTAAATCAGTGGCATATGAAGAATTGTGTCCAGCCTGGAAACTCTCAAAAATAGAAGAAATGCTGGAGATAAAAGTTGAGTAAATATAGCCCAGTGTTTTATCAGGGATGCTGTGTCTTGCATCACTTTGGTGAGAACTGCAGTCCTTAGCTGTAAAATACTGAAGTATTTTAGAAATGCCTGAATTTCCTGTTGCTTGGCATTCAGGCATTCAGCAGCTCTGAGCTCTCCAGCCACTGAACAGGACAAGGAGTGCCATCAGTACACGGGGCCTAATTGAGCTGTGGGTTAGTTCCGCACAGGTTCCTCTTCTCTGCTCTTCTGGGAGAAGAATTTGTCCCCCTGCAACACAATCACCTGCACACAGGCATTTTATCAATTTAAATTGGATGCTTTCCATTAGCACGTTCAAAAATAGCAGCTCTGAGGGCACAGGGAGTCTGTGTGTCCACTTTTCACCAGGCTCCTCCACATCAGTCATGTGGCAAGGGAGTGATGCACAGAATGGGGACTAACGCTTCCCCCAAGATCTCCCCAGGATAAAATTCCACATTATGAAAGGGAGAGATGAGAGGAAGGGAGACAAATGCACCCAGCTTAACAGGGCTGCTTAGGGTGGTCATCGAAAATGAAGTTCAAGTCAACAATTTGCCTGGAGTAGAATCAGAAATATCATGGAGATGATACAGATTTTACTGTTTTAGGGCCTTTTCCTTATTTCCTCCAGACAAGGAAACAAGGAAAAGGAATTTCCTTTTCTTTTTTCCACTATATTTTTATAAAGAAAGCTTTCCTACCAAAACTACTTAATCCCACCATCAGTTATGCCTGGGACAGGAAAATCCACAGCCAGCTCCCCACATAAGGAGTTCTTCTGCAGAGAACCAGAACCTTCTGGGCCACCTCCAGGCCCATCTGCACAAGCATCAGAACTTTCAAAGGCCATGGAATTGCTGCCCATAGGTGGCATGAAGGAAATTCCATCAGAAGTGTTCCCTTTGGTGATCAGATAATGTGAAACCAAAGCACCCTCTTCAGTTAAAGACTCAGATCGATATTTCTCTGAATATTGCAGCTGAGGAGAATCTGACTGTGTGCATCCAGCTGCTCAGTGCTGCTCCTGCCCTGTCAGAAACACATTTCCTCTCCTTGTCACAACTCCCAGGTGCTGCTGCAAAGCATCACTGCCAGAGGTATTTGAATAGAACAAAAAAAATTGATTTGGACAATCTGTGTGCTCTTGTCATTGATGGAGACACAAGAGGGAGCAGGGTTAGGGCTGAGGCCACAGCACGGTTAAAAGAGAAGTGCCCAGGAATTCTCTCCTGTCACATTTCACACTGAACTGCTCCTGTTTTACAGCAGATGCTACAGACAATACACTCTGCTCCACTAAACAGGGGGAATGTTTAGCTGCATTTACAAGCTGCACTGCAAACTCACTCCAGAACTACTGCACTTGAAAGGTTCCATGGAAAGGGCCCGAATATTCCAGTGTGCAGGCACTGGATGCTGTATTTACCCATGCCACATCAAAAAACAGACACAAAGGCAGGAATGAGCAGGGCCCTGACCATTTACAGGGGGGTGTGAAGCTGCAGGTATAAAACACCTGATCTGAGGGCACTGAGGCCTGGAGCTATCAGGTGGGAGGCCTACCAGCATGGCACAGGTCACAGTTCAGACAAACACAGTGCCCACAACACTGCTCTATTTTACCTTGTGCCTGGCCCTGTATAAGCAAGAAATTACTTGCAAGCAAGGCTTGAAATGCCCCACAAGGAGGGCTGGGAAGTTGTTCTGCCTAGTTCTTCCCTGCACCTCTCCACCTGGGAGCAGGGCAGCACAGGGCACCGACACCATCAGGGGCAGGCTCTGGAAACGCAGCCCAGCGTGGCAAGCCCAGAGCTCGCTGCCTCTCAGGGGCTGAGGAGGAGGAGGCAGGATGTGCAGGGTGTGCTCAGCACCCCGGCTGTCCCCGAGCCCTCCAGGAGAAGCTGCGCTGAAATTGCTGAATCCGTTTCCGCAGGCCGCGCGCGCCTCTCCTTGGACAGCCTCCATAGCTCTGCTCCTTCCCTCCGCTCTGCTGGCAGGCTCTCCTCCTCCTTGGAAGGGAGCACAGCCCAGCTCCTCACCAGGGCTGCCAGAACGTGTGCAGCACACAGAACACAGCCCCGAAAGGCTCCCCGAAAGGGAAGGGACGGGCTCTGCGGGTCACAGCTGCTGCGAGGGGAGCAGGGCAGCCCTGCTCAAACACTGCTGGGCCACTGATAAAAGCCCTGCCAGAACAGGAGGTGCCAAGGTCTTAGAGGAGTTTCAGGGATGTTTTCAAGTCTTGCTAGATTTAAAGGATGATCCTTGGCAAGCTCCCCCTGATGCTTCTCAGCGTTTCTAGAGCCAACAGTTGTTCCATCTGCTGCTGAGGCTGACTTTGAAGAATCCTTGCAAAGAGCAGCACACTAACTTTAACACCACACGACAGGAGAAAATGCCACAGCTTTTCAGAAGTGACCTAGATGTTTGCCAGTAGCTTGACACACTCTCAGGTGAGGCTGTCTCCTTGTCTCCAAACACTCGAGGGTATTACCAAAGCTGTGCCAGTGTAAACTGTGGGCTCAAAGCAGAGATTCAGTAAACAGCTTCTACGGAAAGCTATTCTGAGGCATTAACTACTCCTCTGTGGAGGTCTGTACAGTAAGAGTGAGAAATATCACCACAAACTAACCTCAGGAACCCAATTGCTTATGGGGATTAAAAAAAAAAAAATCTAAAAAAGTCTGCAAAACTCAAGACGTATTCCCTGACAACAGTTTGAAAAAAATTACATATAAAAAAATCAGCAAAGAAAATAAACTTTTAGCGCTGTTGAACACAAACAAGCTATGAAAAAGCAAAGAAAGGTCCACACAGACACCAAGGAAGGTGTTTAGTTCCAACACATAAGCCTCAGTTTCTGCCATTGTGATGGATTTGCCACTGTTTCCTGAGCCAGGCCACTGCACCATTGTGTAAGCCGTGTTCTAATTGCTGTGGGCTCCAGAAAGGTTTCTTTGCCGTTTAGTATGATAAGTAGCTGTGCTCCCAGGCCGGGTTCAGAGCTCAGAGCAGCCCAGGCAGGTCAGGTGCCCTGAGTGCAGCTCCCACCTCGCTGCTGCTGAGGACAGACAGAGGGATGTGTCTGTCACACACCATTACCATTAGAACAGAGCCTCCTTCTTTCATCCCAGCTGAACTCCCGGCTCTCTCAGCAGGAATGCTAAGTGAAATCAATGTCTGGGATTTCCAGCAAGAGCTGGGAGGTCACAGCCACTCTATCATTTCTCAGCATTCTCCCTTCTCCTTCCCTCGCGCTCCCTCCCAGCCTCCAACTGGCACACAGCAGATTGAAAACAGCATGCAGCACAGGACTTACTCTGCACAGTTCTACAGCCTTTTGGAGCCCCCTTCCTTCCCTTCTGGCCCACTTTTTTAGATTATTCCCCCCTCCCCTTTGAAAAATAAGTTCTGTTTGTCTCCTATGGAGCTGCAAGGCAAAGGCACTGCACTCCTGAAATTATGAAAAAGCAATAAAACAAAGGAGAAAACAGAGCTGATCTCGACAGCTGCCAGTAGAAATGGTTATGCTCAATGTTACCAGCAGACATGGCAGGCCTTGGAATTCTGCAACTGCCACAAAACCCACGCTCTGCCCCTGAGATCTCCTGAGACACTCTGCTGCACAGGAGAAGCAAATTCAGCCCTGAGACTTAAAGTGCAGGAGATCTGCAAGCTGCCAGCCACACACACGACTCCCCCTCTTGTAAAATGCACAAACTGGGTAACCAAACACTTTTTAGAAAACCCAAAAATCTCCAATTAAGTATTGCACAGCTCGGTGATTTCTTGCTCTAAGAGGCCAAGCCAAGGAAAAGCCACAGGAAGTCAGAGACTCTGCAGTGAGGAGAGAGAAAAGACATGACCTAGAGCTTGACTCATCAACCCAGCAGCTCCTGATCTCAAGCCATGTCTCTCATTCCCTGAACATGCATCTCACTGGGCTGACAATGGTATTATTTATTTGTCTGGTTATTTTTAATCTGCGCTGCTTTACTGTTGGGGTACAAACAGGACACCGCTGTCAGCTCAGGGCATCTCTCCTGACGCGATAAAGGACACGGACAGCGTGCTGGAGGGCACTAACAAAAAGGAAGGACACATGTTCCACCCAGCTCCTGCTGTCACCCACAGAGGGCTGCTCTGTCCCCGCATTCCTCACTGAATTATTCCCAGATGTATTGCAAGAACAAATATTCTCCCATTGCAGGGGGACATCCCCAGAGGCCCAGGGCGGGTACAGTACCTTGCTCTTGGGAGGAGGGCTGGTTGTGCTCTTGTCTGTGTGGATGCTGGTGGGGGACACGGCAGCACCAAGGCTCCCCTGGGCAATGCCAGGGATCTTTCCTCCTGGAGACACCTGCATGGCAGCGAGCTGGGCAGCATACAACTGCTGGGAGACAGAAACAGAGAGGGGAAAGCGTGGCATGGGGAGCAACACAGCACAGAAACCATCATGGTTGTTTATGGTAAATAGTTATAAATAATATTTATAATATTTATTTATGAGACATAAATACAAATAAAGCATCTTCCCAAAACTTCTCCCACGGCAGATGAGGCGTTTTCCCTCCAATGGGCATTTTTTATTTAGCAGTTGTGTGTCTGAAGACAAGTCACAGACATCTTTTATGAAAAATCATTTCCTTAGGATTTTTTCCTCCTGAGAAGCTAAAAGGCCTCAGGAACAAAATGTAAACAATGGTTATCTGCTGCTGTGGAATGCAACACGTGCATCTGTGATTGGTCTCATGGGGTTGTTTGTAATTAATGGCCAATCACAGTCAGCTGGCTCGGACAGAGGGTCTGGGACACAAACCTTTGTTATCATTCTTTGCTATTCTATTCTTAGCTAGCCTTCTGATGAAATCCTTTCTTCTATTCTTTTAGTATAGTTTTAATGTAATATATATCATAAAATAATAAATCAGTCTTCTGAGACGGTTCTGTGCTTCCATTTCATGTTTCTCTATTTTACTCGCTGTGTTCTCCCTGTTTTCACCAGGCTGTAAGGTGTCTGGGACAGGGAATGCCAAAATTGTATTTAGTAATGACAGTAGGAGTCCACTCTCAGTGGGATTATGGGGAACCATTAGAGTCAATATAAATATACACATGTATTGATATGTGAATAAAATGCTGTCCATTAACTACTAGAAGCCCCAGTTAAATCTAAGAAACCTTAGATAGATGCAAATTTGGTCTTTGTATCTATCTAAGAAACCTTAGATAGATGCAAAGACAAAATAAATACTGGGAAGGAATATTTTTCCATGCAACAGCCCAGAAAAAAGCCTTATTTCCAGGTGAAAAAATGGAATATATGAAATTTCAAATGTATGCTTTACTCTCACTTCAGGGATAGACACACCTGAAGAGAATGAAACACACAGTGTGGTGTGGAGAAACCTGGAAGGAGGGGTGAAACAAAATCTATAAAGCCTTCATTCATGCTTTTTAAAACCTTCTGTCCTCCTGTTATCAGATTCAACATCTCACCTCAATTTGATTTATTTTGAGAATTAAAACCAAACACTCAATAAAATGTTATAAAAGGTCCCTTGTTAGAGTCCTCTCTTAAATGTCTCTGTCTGCAACACAAACCAACTATTCTACAGAAAAAGCGGTATCAGGCCCAGCTCTCAAAGGAAAAATGTGTTTATGAAATTGCAAAGGTCTGAAACCTATTTAACCAGGAAGATTGCTCCTATTTCAAAAAAATTGAAAGAAATACACAACCTGCAGCACTTTTCTTAAAATTTCGCTATTTTTTGACCTTTTGTATTACTGAACTTGTCTATTCATATTTAAATGTTTCAGGACATCTCCAGCCCATACCCAAGGAAAGGGCAAAGGTGTGACCAAGTGTTGTGAAACTTGGCCAAATGACAATAATTTGTAATTCATTTAATGGACAAACTGAACTCCAACAAAACAACATCTCTATCTCTGCTTCTCTAGTGGCATCAGATTTTGGAACAATCAATAAATCTCTGCAGAAATATTCAACTATCACCTAAAATACATCTGAAAACATGCAATATTGCATATGGGCAGGGGAGAGGAACCATAATCATTTAGCTATAAACAAACAATAGATGTTACTTTTAAATCGCTTTTTCAGAAGCCCAATTCTGCCTTCTTGAAGTGTTATGTATCTTTTAAAATTCAGAATATTACCCCTATTTATTATATATAGCAAAAATAAACCTGCCCAAAGCTGTGGTGCGTCACTGATTGCAAGGGAATGCCTTGGCCAGAATAAAGCAGTCAAGGCCCTATAGATAAAAAGTCCTTAAATCCTACACAGTAATGAAACCAGCACCTCAAAAAGCAAGGAAAACAATGTTATTCTGTATCACACTGGTATATACTGGGTTTGAGCCTCTTAATTTTTACCCTGTGTAGGATTTAAGGACTTTTTATTTAAAGGGTCTTGACTGCTTTAATGTGGCCAAGGCATTCCCTTGCAATCAGTGACGCACCACAGCTTTGGGCAGGTTTATTTTTGCTATACATAATAAATAAGGGTAATATTCTGAATTTTAGAAGATACATAATGCTTATTCAAGACGGCAAAACTGGGCCTCTGAAAAAGCAATTAAAAAGTAACATCTATTATATAACAACATAACAATATAGTTATTATTATATTATATTATATTATATTATATATTATATTATATTATATTATATTAATATATAATCATATTAATATATTATATATTATATATAATAATATTAATAGCTATTATATATTATATATATAATAATATAACAATATTGCACGTTTTGTTAATCTTTTCTCATTAACCTCTTGTGAAAATCTGCAAGGAAGCCAAATCATCAGAACAAGAGCACAATTTGATACACTTTAAAACAAGCAGGAGGTATTGCTAATTTTTTAATGCTGCCCCTCTATTTTTAGGGTATCAAACAAAAAAAACCCTTTTTCCCTAGGTCAGCACCTTAACTATTTATAATAATTTTCCCAATACACTGAGCAGAAATATTCAGCTGGACTCTGTGAATGGAGCAGGAGCTCTTGGCTGGATGACTCTGTATCACACCAGCAGCAAGCCCAGAGGTGAGGGCAGCTCTGGAAACCTCCCCTTGGGCATTGCTGCTCCACGTTAACAATGCTCATTACTGCTCCGGGGCTACGCTCACAATGAATTCTTGTTCTATTAACACAGAAAACGAGAATGAGATTTAACAGCAATTTTCAGAAGGGTTGAACAAAGTGCCAGCAATTACACAGGCAGCAATAGTTGATTCAAGCACCTATAGGCTTTGGATTACAGTATTATCTCTTATTAAAATATTTTTATTAGTGAACAGTGGAGATTAAGAGCTGTTCATAAAAAAACACCACAGAGAGAGACAGGTGGTGGCGGGAACTGAATCAGTGACTGCAGTAAATTTGTTTCTGATAAAGTATTTTTCAGTGACGATACCACAGTGATGAATTTACAAACCACAGCCCCTGAGTGTCTGAACTGTTGACTGATCCACCACTTCAACTTCTTTGTCATTCCGAGACCCATCATTAAAAATATACACATGAATGGCCTTGCTCTTTGTTTTTGGTTTTGTTTTGGTTTTTTTTTTTTTTTTTTGCATAATCAGGGGTGGGAGGGGGGAATGGGATAAAATGAGACTCACTCAGAATACATGAATTTCATTTTTCTTTACCTCAAATTTATGCTTCCATAAGGCATGAAAACTTAGATTAAGGCAAAAAGAATTTTGCAATTTTGCCTAATTTTGAATCTGCTCAGGTGGCTTTTTAGTTGAAAAGGAAAAAAGAATTCACTGAAAACAAACATTTGATGTACGTCCTACTGTGAGACAGGTTTTTAAAATTACTGGCAACACAGATAAAAGCTACAGAAATTAGAATTAAAGCTGCACTCATTAGTGATTGGTAGCAATGCTTGCTAGATATTCTACCAAAAAAAGTTCTTTATTTACATATTTGAAATGTCAGATTTTATTTCTGTCTGAGTTTCCTTCTAAGACTGTTAAACATTTCAAAAGGACAGGGTAATGTGTACATTCAAACTTCAGCAAAGGCTTCTAAGTGCCCCTTGCTTGCATCCAATGGGAGATTTTCAGAAAACAAAGATAATATTGGAACACAAGGACAGCAGGCTCCTTTAAAAACTCACCAAAGAACACATTGCAAGGTGAATTTGCTAGCTTCCGCTTTGGGCTAATTTCAGATAATAACAATAATTATAACAATAATAACAACATATAACTTATGTTATTAATAACATATAGAGCTCAGGATCCTGAGATGCACTTCACAGTATTTCGGTTTATTTGGGGATTTATTTTATTTTGGTTTGTTCCACCCAGTTCTGAATACAGCTGAGAGTTATTGCTGCTCCACCTCACACCTGCCTTAATCCCAAACAACTCCCACAAGGAGCTGCCCAGTGCAGACTCTGGGGCAAAGGACCTTGTCTGCGCTAAAGTTTCCTGTATTCACCAAGCAAAACCCAGCAAACTGCACCAATTCACCCCAAAATGTGAACCACACAGAGAATACAGAAAATAGGCTAAATATTGGAACTTTGCAGTGCTCCTTGCCTTGGCCTCACAACCCAGCTGGCTTCCTTTTGAACTCCCATCCTGGCTGTTCTCTGCATTCAGCCAAAGAGAAGAGGACAGGTAAGTGAATCACACATCAAGGAACAATAATAATTATTAGAAATCTGGGACTGGGCTAGTTAACAGATAATTAATGTACAGCTTCTAATGAGAGAGCATTGGTGACATGTAGAGGAATTCTCTACCTAGAGAAATTCTGACTCATGATGTTTCAGATCAGATGTGTTCCATGAAGGTGAACTTTGAACAAGATTTATTGTGCTCAGTCATATTTTACATCTTGTTCTGTCAGACCAGACAACATAACAGTCTCTCTAGCCTTAAAAAAGCCCTGAGACTTAGAAGGAAACGCTGAGGAAAACAAGTTCTCATTACAAAAACTGTGCAGCATTCACAAAGAGAACAAGGCTCCGCTTGTACCCAGGCACAGCCCCAGCAACCAGCATCCCTCTCATGCTAGAAAAACATCACTGCTAGAACCAGGGACCACAGGGCTCCCCAGAACAGGATTCCGATCTCCAGGGTTCCAGGCTGCAGCCCTGCTCCTGAGAATAACCCACTGCAGCCACCAGCCAAACAATGCTGGCTTTGACTCCAGAGCAGTGAACAAAGCAAAGCATGCATGTGCAACTCATGGCAGCTCTGAGCTTTCTTAGAAACGGGTGGAACTTTGAGGGGTGGGACACCCATTTTAACTAAAGCACAACTCTGTTTGTATTTTCAGGAGCTTCTTTGGGAAAGACACCAACTCTAACACCCTCAAACGGGAAGAAT